CCTCCTCCTCCTCCCCTCTTGGGGGCTGTTTGGGGAGCTACCGGGGCCTGCTTGGCGCCTCTTCGAGGCCTCTTGGCGCCTCATGGGGGCCTCTTGGGGTGGTCTGGGGGCCTCGCGTGGGCGTCTGGTCGCCGATACCTTGACTTTTCACACTCGGGGGCCACGATCCTCGTAGTGTATATAGATTTCAATTGCGCACAATGCGTACATCGATATTGTGACGGGGAATGCATGCATCGATACTGGGACCACCAAGGGGTGTGTGCCTCGGATTGCGGAGAATATTCCGACTCGAAGGACCGGTTGGAGACTGGCTCCGCGCTTACAGCGGGGTCGTCCAAGGCGATGCTCTGAGTACGATCGCACTGAACAATGTTGTCATATGCATTTTGGAGGCTGCAAGTGCCCACAACGAGGTTGAATATTTCAATTGCGCAACCAAAACAGTACCGACAACCATTTCAAGTTCAAATGTAGCTGCAGGAGAAGTGCGCACGGCATGGCTTGCACCACGTGGGTTTCACGGTTCGTTTGCCGATGTTTGGCAGCGTTTAAGTTTAGATCGTAGCCAGGGTTTGCAGGACCGCCTTCCGTTCGCGCGAGGCCGCCGACCCCGACATGTAGGGTTCGCCCCCGCCGTTCAACTACCCGCTTTTGGAGGCCTGCGCTGGCCTCCGCGGGGGGACTTCAAAGCGAACCATCACGGGGGACCATCGCAGGGGAGGTTCGGAGAGCCCCTGCGGTGGCTTTGAAGTTTCTTGGGCGTCTTTTGGGCGGCAGTTCGCGTTCCGTGGTCGGGGTTTCCGCGGGGCTCTCATGGGCCGTATAGGTTGTTTTTGGGGGCCTTCGGCCGATTAGGAAACATCTTAGGAACCGTTGGGCCGTCTTGGAGTCTGGGGGCGCCAGGCCCCACGCCGGCCACGTCAGGGCTATACCTGCGCGCTGCTCCCGCCGCGTCATATCCAATATTCGGGGCGATTCGTCCCTCGCGAAACCACTCTCCACCGTATCCTGCGGTCATGGCTCAAATGTTATTACTGTAGCGGGGGGGGTCCTCGCACTTACTGGGACTTATCCTCTCGATAGAACGCTTACGTTCACCCTGGGGCGCGATCTCATTCGCCTTTGCACCCTCGCGTTCATAAGCATGCCAGGCGCGGGCGATTACGTCCCGCCCAAGCAGTGCATGCGCGTCATGAAGGACATGTGGGGCGCGGTTGACGGACACTTCGACCCAAACTACGTGCTCGCGAAGAGCGGGCACGACCTCGTGCAACACTACTCCATTAAGGCTTCGCACCCCGAGATGCCGTACGCAATGCACTTCCTGTCGATGATGTGCGCGCTGTCCAACGGGGCGAAGATTGCACTGTTCCCTTCGTCGGACAGTCCACTCTTTATCTTCTTCCTTAACATTAACTATGCTCAAACACGGAAGAGTTCGATCACGGGCAATGCAGACGGGTTCGGCGACCTGATCGACAAACACGTGTTGAAGGTAGTTGAAAAGATGTGGGATGATCTGAAGAGCGCGGATGACGAGGAAGAGGAAAATAACGTCGCTCCCAAAATCGTCTCTTCAGTGCTGCACTCAGCGACGCCAGCTGAGTTCTTTCACCGCATGGCTGGCGACTTCCAGCAATGGCAGAACGCCGACAAACTGGATCACGACGAACTGAAGCGCAGGCATTTCTTCGGCGTGCTTGTGAACTTGGACGAAGCGCACGACCTACTCCAAGCCTTCGGGCTTTTGTCCGACGAGCAGAAGGCGTCCAGCAAGGGCGGGAGGAACGCCGTCAACCCGCACCAGTCTGCTTTCAACAAGTTAGCGCAGTACGGCCAGGCGTCCCGGTCGACGAAGTCGTGCGGGTCCTACGGCGCTGCGGCGGCGCCGACGGTGTCTGTCGGCATGACCGGGAACATGCGTCCCAGCCAGTACGTGCCCATGGAGAGGGGGGAGTCTGGCAGCCATTTCGCCCACACGAAGGAGCGGCTCATGGTAGCGACAGGCCGGCCGGTGCAGCCGCACGAAGCGCTCCCCGCGGACTTCGCCCCCCCGACCGGCCACTCGTCTTGGACGTGGGTCCCCGTGCTGCCAGACGTCGCGGACGCGCTCGGATTGGGGGAGGGGGCGGCGAGTCCCGAGGCCGCGGAGAGGCTGTGGGAACGTCCGACTGATGGCCTACCCGCGTTGGATGCCGCGGCAGAAGTCGACGAGCGGTTCCGCCCAGACGCGAACGGCTACGTGGTCACGCTGCCAGACGGCGTGGAGACGAGAGTGCGCTTCCGCTTGGCATCTGACGCAACGTCGGGTTTCGAGGCAGAATGGCGGATCGCCAACCGCAGCTTTCCCACTCCTGCCGCGTACGAGTTGCAGAAGTGCTGCGCCCGCGTCCTCACGTATTTCAACGAGCCCCACCGCGTCCTCACCCTGACCGACCGGGCGGACGTTACATTCAAGTCGTACATGGGCTGCTTCAACGTCCAGGCGGCGGTGTAGATTGCTGGGGGCTGTACCCTAGGGCCTACTACCGACCCTAGGTTTGCCTAGGGTAGGCCCTACTGAAGGCCCTAGGCACCCCTAGGGTAGGCCCTACTGACGGCCCTAGGCTTCCCAAGGGTAGGCCCTACTGACCCTCCCATGGTAGGCCTAGGGGTAGGCCCTAGGGGTAGGCCTAGGGTATGGGGGTAGGCCCTAGGGGTAGGCCTTCCCTGGGCAATCTATATGTAGGCGGCGACGAAGCGCGACAAGAAGGACATCGAGGGCGCCGCGCGCATGGGCTGCGCGCCGTGGCAACTGGGACAGATCGCAGGGGCCCTGTGCGTATTCGACATCTTCCACGGCCGCTGCGACGAGACCCCAGTGTACCAGGGCAGGACCATCCAGGTTATGCCCGAGCACATTAAGCGGGCCGCTAGCTTACTGTCCGTGGTGGACCGCCTCAAAGCGATCGCGGCGGGCGGAGGCGCAGCGGCGACTTGCCCTCCCGGCATGGGCGAGGCCGCGATGATGAGGCTCCAGATGGAGAGTTACATCGGCACGGAGGGGGCCCCGCAGCCCTTCGACGGCCTGTGGTCCCAGAACGCCTTCGCAGGCGACGCGGCGACGCCTAGCGGCAACCATCTTGAGGCATCTGCAGTGGAGGAGGAGGAGGCTGAGGAGGAGGCTGCCCGGGCATTGGGGCTCGACGGGGCGCCGCAGGACGAACCGCGCGGCGCCGCCGCGCTGGGCAGCGGCGCCAGCGCAGACGATGGCGGCTTTCGCCAGCGCCTCGCGGCAGATGGGCCCGAGGGCGCGGGAGTCGGCGCGCGGGCTGACGTTCCGGGCGCAGAGGAACTCCAGGGTGCAGGTGACTTGGCTGCCGCCCAGGCGGCCCCTGCGAGCTCCACTCGCGACGCCTTGCTCACGATGAAGGACGTCCGGTCCATTGAATGCGGGTACGGACTCCAGGGATCTTCGGTGCAGGAGACGTTGCTCGCGCCTCAGTGGACGGACCGCGCCGTGATGCAGAAAACGCTCCTCGCGGGGACCCCAGTGATTGACCGCAGGTCTGCCGCGCAACGCATCGTGACTTCCCGTGCGGGTGGGGAGAGACGCAAGACCATTGATGCAGAGAGATGGGCGCGCGTCATGAAGGCAGGCCTCGCGGGTTGCTCCATTGCCCAGTTTGACGAAGAGGGGTGCAAAGTGAAAATGATTCCAGTTCCAGATGACGTGGCCTTGCGCCACAAGTACCACAATGAGCTCATGACCTTGTGCGGCATTACGCTCCGCCAACTGGTGGAAGCCATGCAGTCCGCCAAGAAGGCAGCCGAGCAGCGCGGCCGGGCCGGCCCGAGGGGGCCTCATCCAAATAAGAAAGCCAACAGGGCGGTGGCTGAGCGGAGTCGCAGCCGTTCGCGGCAGCAGGATGCCCGCGAGCGCAGTTGAGTCCAGGGCGCGGGCGCGAGGTCCATCGGATGCTGCCAGCCTTGCCTCGCAGCGCTGGGTCTGATCCAGCCCGAACAACGTCGCTTCGTGCTTGGCCCAGCCGCTCTTACCTTGGACCCTAGTGACCTCGCAGCCCTGGCTTATTTTTGCTGCTCGCTGCAGCAGACGCGCTCGAGTTGTAGGGCAATCCACGGCTCGCGCGAGTTGAATTCCAGCTTGTCTCATGGCGCACGGCTTCAGCATTAATTTCCAGCTGCCGCGCTCGCTCCAGAAAGGGGTGCTTCTGGGGCGCATATCAATACAGAGAGGACCGATCGTAAGCAAAAGAAGCGTGCTCGTCGGAGCCCATTGTCCTCTCTTCCGTTACGGTCATTGAAATACCCAGGTTGCGCGCTGTACCACTTTCGCCGCATGGGATTGACCGACGGCGCGAAATATCCTGCTGTTTCGGATGACGCCCCTGCCATCCCAAGCCCTCCCCCTTTCCCCAGTTAGGCCTTAGGGGTGGGCCTAGGGGTAGGCCTGGGGGTAGGCCCTGGGGCTTGGCCTAGGGTAGGCCTAGGGGTAGGCCTTCGGGGTAGGCCTAGGGGTGGGCCTTCCCCAGGCAAGCTATATGTGCCCCAGCTCCCTTTGAGTCGTCCTCTCCCGAGGTCCCTCCCGGACTGCGAGGACTTTCCTTATGCGCGCCCTGCGGGCCCGCGCGGGTCCGCGCGGGCCCGCGCGAGCGGGGCCCGTCCGCGGCGCAGGGCGTACATGGGGAAGTTTTCCATGTTCAGACGGGACACAGGGGTGCAAGAGCGATCGGCGGGGCCAGGCGATTCCAGGTGAAGACGCCATGGCAGTGTCGAAGACGTAGCCCCAACAAGCAAGCTTTAACCGAATCGCAATAGCCGTGCAATGCGGATGACATCGCATACACCGCGATGGCTTGACGTCCGCCATTAAACTGCCCGCTACGTGAGAGGCCGGCGCTGGCAGACACTTGAAGCCGTCGCGCGTTTTGGGTCAAGCGCCCTTGGGGCGGGGCGGCTTTTGTTCGTTGGCGCGGGCTGCCAGGTAGGCACCATCCATGGCGGCGTCGCCCAGCGATCTTCTTTCCGCTGGCGGGCCGCAGCCTGGTTCGGACGAACAGTTGCACGTCGCTCTGCGGGATGCGTTGCGCACGGCGGACGTGCTGGCACTTCTGGGGGATCAGGAGGTCAACGGCATGGCCACTTCCCTCAGCCAGGGTTGGAGGCCTTCGCCGCCATTTCTCGGGGGCGAGACACGCTCGACCGACCTCGTGCACCCGCGACGCGAGTGCCCAGGGTGCAATGAGCCGCGGGCCCTGCAGACGAGCAAGGCGACGTCCGCTCGGATACTTGATTCTGGGAGCGTCGTGGGGAAACGCCACGTCCCCTGGAGGTGTTACACTCAAGGGTGCCCAGAGTACTTGCGGCTGACCTGGCACAACTACGCTACGATTGACGGGAGCCATTGGTTCCGAGGTGCCCCATCCACTCTTCGTTGCTTTATGTTGACAAGCTCGTTCGGCGTGCCCGTGCAATACCTTCTGCAACTGCGCGCCCGCTTGCTCCGGGAGCACGTGACTTTCGCCGGGGAAGCGTACGTTGCGCACGACATGGAGAGGCATTCGCCAGACGGGCCTCGCCTACCTGGCTGTGCTCTTCGGCTATACATCAGTGAAGCTTGGTTCAAATGGCGGATGTTGCTACGCGTTGAACGCATGTGTGCCGACGGGGACACGTCCGTCGCCTTGGAGCATTTTTGTTTGTCCGCTACCTCAGAGGAGAACGCGCGGACCTTGTGGCCGAAGGCTCAATCACACTTCGAGGCTGCTACCCGAGCGGCGCTGCTGCAGAGTGACCCCGCGCAGGCGAGCAGGCAGGCCATCGACGGCAACCAGAAGATAAAAAGATCTTGCTGCGGAGTGCCGAACCAGGACCGCCAATTGGATGTAGCTCTCGGGAAGGCTATCAGCTTGTCGTGCCGCCGGACGCCGAAATTTGGCGCACGTTTTTGCGTCGACCACTTTGAGGCGACCTGCGCTGGGGCCAATTGCCAATATAGCGTCGTTGAGCACAAGGATCCAGAGACTGTGCTGGGAGAGACAGCAGACGAGAATCTGTTCAGGTTGTGCGAGGCTGGGGGCAATGACGAGGGGTTCTGGGTGCCAGAGTCCGAAGTGGACCCCCGAGCTGCGATCCAGTATTTCGCGGGGAAAGGCTTGGACGCGCAGCGGAGGATAACAGAGCGGAGGTTGCGGAAGAGGCGGGCGCAGGCTGACGCGCGCGAAGCCGTATCCGCAGTCATGGCCGAAGCGGCGTCGTTCTGGCACCTACTGACGCCGCAGGAGCGAGAGGACACGCTGGCCCTGCACTCTTCCTCAGGAGACTTGGCCGCTAGCTCGTGCGGAACGCGCAAGGAAGGGGAGAAGGAGAGACTCCTTTCAGCCCAGACTGCTGGCGTCATGTGCGCATGCACGAGCTCTGGGATCATCACGTCGTTGCGGGAGCTGGTCGGATCAGAATCTTTGTCGCAGCGATATTTTTCGTTAGTGCGTTGAAATCGTTGTACCCAGAACTGGAGCTTATCGTGCATGATGACGCGTGCCATCTGCGCAAATTCAGCGCCTCCCGTGAATCCCACTCAGCCCACGCGGCCGCCATCGCCCCCCCGCGCTTGAAGTATTGCGTGGATGAGTTTCATGCGACGAGCCACACTGACGCATGGTGTCTGGCAAACTGTCACCCAAAGAACCCGTCTCTGGCCGAACTCGTGCAAGGGTTCCGTTCCAGCGTTTATGAGTTCACGTTTACTTGGTTGAGCCAGTACAAGCACCAGACCAAGCACATGAACCAGTTTGGCTTTTGCTTCTTTCTACTGGAGATGGCAGACGCTCACAATGAACGCGTGCGCGCGGGCAGGACTGACCACTTGCCGAGTGCCCGCAGGGGCGCGTCCTAGCGCCGAAGCATCGCCCCCTGGTGTATGCAGCCAAAAGGATGCAACGCGCGTGGCCTAGCCTTTTGTTGCGTGCTCACCACATCCTTACCTACTACTCGCTGAAAAAGGTATTTCTGGATCCCTAGACCCCACTCTACTTTAAGCGCCTTCCGACTTCAAGTCTCTATGGCAGCCTCCTTCAAGGCTCTAGGTTTCCCCAGGGTAGGTCCCTAGGGTAGGCTTCCCAAGGGTAGGTCCCACTTAAAGCCCTAGGATTCCCAAGTGTAGGCCCCGCTGAAGGCCTTAGCCTTCCCAAGGGTAGGCCTTGCTGAACCTCCTATGGTAGGTGTAGGGGTAGGCCTAGGGGTAGCCCTGAGGTATGCCCAGGGGTAGGCCCTGGGCTAGGCCTAGGGGTAGGCCCTAGGGGTAGGCCTAGGGGTAGTAGGCCTAGGGGTAGGCCTTAGGAGTAGTAGGCCCTGGGAGTAGGCCTAGGTAGGCCTGGGGGTAGGACGTAGGGGTGGGACTACGGTAGGCCTAGGGGTAGGCCTGAGGGGTAGGCCTAGGGTAGGCCTACGAGTAGGCTTTAGGGGTAGGCCTTAAGGGTAGGCCTAGGGTGGGCCCTATAGGGAAGGGGCCTAGGGTAGGCTTTCCCCGGGCAATCTATATGTGCCCCAGCTCCCTTTGAGTCGCCCTCTCCCGATGTCCCTCCCTGACTGCGAGGAATTTCCTTCTGCACGCCCTGCGGGCCCGCGCGGGTCCGCGCGGGCCCGCGCGAGCGGGGCCCGTCCGCGGCGCAGGGCGTGCATGGGGAAATGTTCCACGTCTGGGCGGGGGCAAAGGGGGGTCCAGAGCCGTCCCCAGCGCCCGAGCGATTCCAGGGGACGAAACAACGGCGATATTTACGACATGGCCAACATAACCAATGATAGCTTCCACCGAATGGCAATCGCCGCGCAGTGCGCACAGCATTGCTTACAACACGATGGCTTGACGTCCGCCGATCCATTTACAGCGTCTGGAGGATCGCGCTTGAAACCGTTGCACGTTTTCGCTCAACCGCCACGGAGACGGGGCAGCCCGTCCTCCTCCTCCTCCTCCTCCTCCTCCTCCTCCTCCCGTCCTCGTCCTCTTCGTCCTCCTCCTTCGCCTCGTCCTCCTTGTCCTCCTCCTTGTCCTCGTCCTCCTCGTCCACCTCCTCCTTCTCCTCCTCCTCCTCCGCCTCCTCCTCCTCCTCCTCTTCCTCCTCCTCGTTCTCCCTCTGCCTCCTCCTCCTCCTCCTCCTCCTGCTCCTCCTCCTCCTGCTCCTGCTCCTCCTCCTCCTCCTCCTCTTCCTCCTCCTCCTCATCCTTTTCTTCTCCTCCTCCTGCTCCTCCTCCACCCTTCCTTCTCTTCTCCTGAGTCCACCCTGGCGGACCCGGCGGACCCGGCGGACCCGGCGGACCCGGCGGACCCGGCGGACCCGGCGGACCCGGCGGACCCGGCGGACCCAGCGGACCCGGCGGACCCGGGGGACCCGGCGGACCCGGCGGACCCGGCGGACCCGGCGGACCCGGCGGACCCGGCGGACCCGGCGGACCCGGCGGACCCGGCGGACCCGGCGGACCCGGCGGACCCGGCGGACCCGGCGGACCCGGCGGACCCGGCGGACCCGGCGGGCGGACACAGTTGACATAGCTGACCCGGCGGACCCGGCGGACCCGGCGGACGGACACAGTTGACACAGCTGACCCGGCGGACCCGGCGGACCCGGCGGACCCGGCGGACCCCACACCCAGAAAATCATAAGTCCACCATGAGGACAGGCTTCGGGACAACGTAGCGCTCTGAAGCGTGTAAATTCCCGACGGCACAAGCACGCCAAGCCTCACCGCCGTGCCGAGCCCAACCGAACCTGGAGATGCACTGGTTGTGGAACAGGTGTTGGCATTGCAGAACCTTCACCACGTCCTCGGGGAGAAAGGGCAAGATCAATCAACATCGAATCTGGAAATCGGATCGAGTCGACATGTGCGTCGGATCGGGCCGCAACGGTACGGAATCGAAATCGAAAAGAATCGACTTCGTCACGAGACAAAACAACGCCATTCATACATCGGACCGCATCGGAGCGCTGGAACATCGGAATCAAACCGGATCGGGCCAGCCAGAACCGATATCGAATTGGATCGAAATGGACGGCGAGGGGGCAGACATGGCAGGATGGCGGCGCGGTAAGTTCGGCGCAGGGTGGCAGGGCGCCGATAGCGCCCGGGGGGTCGGGTCGCGGACGCCCAGGAGCGCCGTCGCAAGGCTGAGCTCATGAATGTCTCGGACGGCGCCAACCTCCAGCCTAAGATCTTGGGGCCTGGTATACGGAGACTTCGACAAACAATGATGTTCAGGCGCCCTAGAATACAGCAGCCAAGGGCCGAGACATTCTCCAATCTCCGTTTTCTTCCGCTTGATCTGGCGAAGTCCTCCGGGTTTGCAATGTCCTGGTTTTTGGGGCCCTGACCATCGGTCGGACACGCTCCCAGAAGCTCCAGCGCCAGATCCACCCAGGCTGGAGCCCCCACCATGGGGCCCCCGAGCCCCAAACCAGCTCTTCTGGGCCACCTGCCTTCGTGCCTCGCGCAGTGCGAATCGCGCTTGAATTCGCGCTTGTGCCGCCACATCAGGAAAACAACTCTTCGGACCGGGTCGCGACGCGCGCAACGCGATTATATTCGCACCTCCTCCGTTGACCCCTAGGCTCTTCTGAGGGACACCTCCCAGCAAACGACAACTCGCCAACGCGCAAAGAAGACCCGAGGATGACCCCATGAGGTCTCAAAATGGCACCGAGGCAAACATCTCCAGAACAACCTTGGGTTATTCATGCTTTCCTATGCCACCCTCGACGCGCCTAGGTGACTTTCGCAGGGACGCTGAATGGGCTTTGCGCCGCTGTGGACGGCCAACTAGCGGCTCTAAGACTTTTAAAATCACCCAAATGCTCCAAGACAGCCCAAGGACTCCGCTAGAAGGCTCAGGAGCGCTCCAATGCAGCTCAAGACCAGCCCAAAGGCCCCCAAAACCCTCCCAACACCTGAGGCTGCCCAGCACGGCCCCAAACCGCGCAACAACCTCGGCATCATCCTCGAACCGTCACCGTAGCAGGGGGCCCCATGCACCACTGCGGAACAATCATGGAGCCACCCCGACCACGAAGGGCACTATGCGCTATGATTCTGGGTCTCCTCTGCAAGAGACAGATCCCCACAACAGATGCGACGCAGGGCAGGCGTGGTAGCGGACAGCCATACGGCGAAATGGCGAGAGAGGCGGGGAGAGAGATAGAGAGAGAGGGAGAGAGGAAAGAGAGAGAGAGAGAGAGAAAACTGCGCACGTCAGAGGTGCATTGGTAAACAACTGTGGAACGACAACATATACGACTGGTCGCCAGCTCCTCCATGGACGGGCGAACAGGAACAATTGAAACACCTCGTCATACATACCCCACTCTCCAAGATGCCCACATGGTGGACGACCAGGGAGGGCAACGGCAGCAAGGAGGCAGAGAAGGGAACGACAAGGGAACGACACGGCAGCAAGGAGGCGAGAGAGGCAGGTGCACGGCGAATGTCCGCGTCTGTGAAGGCGACGAGGCAAATCGCGCATGTCTCCCCAGCACAGCTCCGCCGCGAAGCCTCACTTCCCGCGCCGCCCGCCACCATTTCCTCCTTGCTGCAAGTGGGCTGCAGCTGCTGCTGCGTCTCTGGTGTGCCGCTGCCGCCGCTGCCGCCGCTGCCGCCCCCGTCGGTGCCGAGTAGTGGGCGGCCCGGTTTGGAAGTGGCTGGGGGGCCCTGAGCTGTTTAGGCCTGCAGGAAATCTATCAAAAGGAAGGGGGATGAAAACACATTTTATTAGAAACGACGCGAGCACTCATAAACATAAGCGGGTTACTACTGCGAACGGCTGAACTCTCGCACAAAGCCCTTCCAATCGTCGGGTCTGATTTCGTTTTTTTATACCATTGCAGTCCATGCTGAACAGTTCCCTGGTCCATGCGCAACGAGGTCTGCCTCTCCTCCCCTTCTCCGCGGGAGGCTTCGGGGTAACTGAGGACGGTTGGACAACTGCCTTGCGAACTGGGTGATCATTGCCCCTGTGCGCGATCTCTGCAAAAAGAACGAGCTGTCGCTGCAGGAGGAGACTGCTGAATTTCTGACACAGCGGGCCTTGAAGCCGTCCAACCGGGTGCGTTTTGCACCCTTCAACTATGCAGTGTGCAGATTGTACAACACTTTGCTCAGCCCGCACGCTTTGCACATACAGATCTTCCGAGACAGAGATACTGCAGTTTGATACCATATGGGCGACAGCGTATCATATCCCGCCCTGGCTGCACCAACTCGTCTGTTCAATTCTGCTTGAACGCTCCCGTCCGCAGAGAACATGCTCGCAAAGTGCACGATGCTGTCCTTCTGACTGTTGGGCGTGCCGTCGGGCTTTGTAGTATCGGCTGTGAACCTGACTAGAAGAATTTCCAAATTCTTACTGTTGCGCTTGACACCGTAATTTGCGCCGATCATCTCGATGACCTGCATGTATGAGACCGAGGTGTCCGCAGAAGACGCAACGATGAGCGTGCCATCCGAATAGAGAAAAGCTCCCCCACGTCTGCTGCGCTTTGGCCAAGAGCTGCCCTTGCATCTGATATCAGAACTGTCATGGGTATGTCACACAAAAGCGGCGAGAGAGGACACTCCTAACAGATGCCCGCGCGCTGCGGCCGGGAGCTCGAAATGGCACCGGCTTCCCTGTCTGCAAAGCGCCGCGCCGCGTAAGCCGCCTCGGAGGCTGCCGGCATGAGCGCAGGCAAGACGGAACGCTTGAACGCCAGCAGGAGGGCGCCTGGGGCAACGCTGTCAAATGCTTTGGCCCAGTCTAAAGCCAAAAACACTGTCTGACCACCTCTTGCCTCCCATGCACCTTCGATACTCCGACGCGCCAAGAAGATGGCATCCGCCGTGCCTCGTTTCGCTTTGAAACCGAACTGC